TTTAAGCTGTTTCAAGAGTTCACACTTAGCTGATAATTAATTATAAGCAAGTTTGGCATGCTGTCCTGGGCGAGAGCCCTGAGCCTAAAAGGTCCTTGAGCCCTGGGCTCCCTCCCGTTTGCAGGGCGAGAGGGTACCTTTGAGCTCACGTAGATCTCGACAACTTGATAAGAACTGAGGACTAAAATTAATGCTATGAAGAGATATTCTGGAGGATGAGAGTTTGACTGTAGTGCTAAATTAAATTGATCAATTCACTTGTAGTGCATGTTTTTGTAATGTGGGAGGAAACTGGAGAACCCGGGGAAAATCCACGCGAGCACGGCAAGAACATGCAAACTACTAACAGTAAGGACAGCCGGCCTATCGAAGGACTAGAACCGGAGAAGTTCTTGCTGTGAGGCAACAGTGCTAATCACTGGGCCACCGTGCAGCCCTAAGAAGGAAAAGGTGGAGAAGTAGAGGTGGAGTAGGGGATGGAAGATGGCTGTAGTGAGAAACCCTGGCTCTTTATAGTGGGTTAGGACTGGCCTGATTGGTGGATCATACATAGCTAATGCAGAACCAGCCGTGTTCAATCATAATCACGTGATCCTCTCGAAATTAGTTCATAAATAAACTTCACTTAGTCTCTTGAACGGTATTGTGTAAACAAGTCCAAGCACAAGCTAATTTAAGTTCACTTAATGACAATCAGTGTTCCAAATAATATTGCAGTGTTCCTGAAACCTACCTGCTTTGTCCTTAAAAGGGATAGTTCCTGCAAAAATGTAAATTTTCTCTCCATTTGTTCACATTCAATTAGTTCTTAACTTTTACAAATTCCTTTCTTCTGTTAAACACAAAACATATATTCTGAAAAAAAATGTTGGGGAAAAAGCAGCCATTGACATCTATAGTAGAACAAAAATACTACTAAAGTCAATGGCTGTTTTCCTCAGCATTCTTCAATAAATTCAAACAGTTTTGGGTTGAGTGTTGGTTAATTCTGTCAAATGATGACAGAATTTGAATTTCTTTGGCGAGTGACCTATCCCTTTAATATTGTTCATGATTCTATAATGACAAAAGGTTGACGTTCACATTCTTAGATGCTAACATAGAAATAGCCACCAGCCAGCTTGAATAACAAAGAAGGATCGTACAGCATCTCGAATAAATTTAATCACACATATAAACATTTCAAACTCAAATCAAACAAATCAACTCAAATCAGTTGTATGTAATTTATGTATTACAGTAGCGAAATACAAATCTAATGTCAACTTCTCTGACAGCAGCGTTGAGAAGCGGTTCAGTGGTCATCTAAGCAGCACCAAGAGCTACTGACACCACCACTCCTCCAGAACGAGTAGCCTACACACAAACACCATCAGCAAAATTTAGTACATCTAAAAAAAGACAATTCTCACAGAACCAACAATCACCAGATTATAGTCGCACACTTCACAGATATTTCACAACACGATAAACGGTGACAGAACATGTTCAGTCATCCAGGACAAGTGCCAACCAACACCAACAGACTCCAGCAGGACTAACTGGGTAACACTGATCTGACACAACACAATCAAGTGTCTGTTATTATTATTAGTGTCTGTCAGTGCAGTGTAAATGTAAAAGCAGATTCAAACATAATATAGAAATAAACTGTCATGTTTTCCTGTGAATTCTTGTAATTAAATCTACATACACTTAGAAGATTTTTATTGCTTGTTCCAAATACTGAGCTGAATTAACCCAATTGTAGAGATTTCATTGGGACAACTTAATTTTTTATATTCAATCCACATACATTTGTTAAAAAGTGTTAAGTTAACTTGATCAATTTGTGTTGGGTCAACATGAATGAACTGTGCGGAACCCTGCATTTTTTTTTAAGTGTACACCAGGGGTCACCAAACTTGTTCCTGCAGGGCCGGTGTCCTGTAGATTTTAGCTCCAACCCTAATCAAACACACCTGAACAGCTAATCAAGGTCTTATACTTGAAACACTCAGGCAGGTGTGTTGAAGCAAGTTGGAGCTAAATCCTGCAGGGACATCAGCTCTCCAGGACCAAGATTGGTGACCCCTGGTGTACACTGTAGTCCCAAAACAAATCAATTAACTTGGTTTTTACCAATTTTAGTGGATTGAACATAAAACAATGAAGTAGTCCCCCAAAAAAAGAATTGTGTTGATTCAGCTCATTTTATATAAGTAGTTGGAACAAGCAGCAAATATAGCTTTTTGACTGTAGGCTGAATATAACTTGTTATGGCAAGTCCTGTGGTGAATCCTCTTTCTTCACAGGAAGCAGGAAGTCTGCTCCAATCTCCTTTGCCTTGGCAAGCTGATCAGAGCACTAAAAGGTGATTAAAATGTTGTATTTTATACAGTATATCCTTTAACACATTTTTATTGCCTATTGCTACTTGACTAACCACTTATTATTACTTGTGAAGCACCTGTGGCTTCGGCAGCCACCAAAGACATCAGTCTGATTGGTCCTGTGTTGATGAAACCAAACGTGAAGTCTTCTGATGCAAAAACTGTAGTTTGAGTATTTACGTTGAGTAATTTCACTTTCATGGCATAAATATGGCATTTTATTTTAACACAATAATAACTTTTACAAATTACATTAAAGTGAAATGGGGGGAGTGCTGTCGCCTCACAGCAAGAAGGTTGCAGGTTCGAGTCTTGGCTGGACCAGTTGGCATTTCTGTGTAGAGATTGCAAGTTCTTCCCGTGATGGCGTGGGTTTCCTCCGGGTGCTCTGGTTTCCCCCACAAGTCTAAAGACATGCGTTATAGGTGAATTAGGTAAGATAAATTGTCCGTAGAGTATGTGTGTGAATGAGTGTGTGTGGATGTTTCCCAGTGATGGGTTGCAGCTGGAAGAGCATCCGCTGCATAAAACATATGCTGGAGAAGTTCATTCCGCTGTGGCGACCCCAGATTAATAAAGGGGCTAAGCCGAAAAGAAAATGAATAAATGAATTAAAGTGAAATTGCTCAACCTAAACAGAAAGTCTAAGAAAGAAGAAGAAAATGGGTGCACTAGAATAATTTGCATATTACGTTTTCATATAGAATCTCTTGCATTTTTCTTTGCTGTAATCAGTCACATATCTCAGAAGCCATGTTCTGCACAGGTTTCCGTCATCTGGAGGACTGGAGCAGAAGAAATTGCTGGGAGAAAGATTATAGCACCTATTTCTCAATGAACTCCAGGCTCAACAGCAACTCTGTCCACTGGGTGCAAAAAAATGAAAGTAGAACAGTGCTTTTTGTTTTTACTATGTAAGCATATTGTACATAAAAAAAGATCACCAACCTGATTTAAGGTTTGCGATAGCAGAGCCTACTTTTACCACTAGGCCTTAGGCTTCAAGTCCCAGAATCAAAGGCTGTTTGACCACAAAGTCTGCAATTCGACCCCTCTGCCTCTTGTGCACAGTGCACTCCTGATCCACAAATGCCAACAGGGTGCATTTGAAACAACATATCTGCAATAATAACTCAGCAAATAATCTTAAAGATGAATTCAGGAGTTCACACTTAGATATTAATTGAATATGAATCGAGTTTGGCATGCTGTCCCAGGAGGGAGCCTTGGGCTCAAGGATCCCATTTGAGCTAGAGGGGAGTTTGAGCTCAGGTAGATCTCGAAAACTCCCCTGCTTATTTATGGCTATTGACAAATTAAGGATTACTTTGGAGAGATATACTTCTAGCTAAGAGCTCATCTGGTGCCAATTTGGTTAGGTCAATTCACTTACTGTATGTTGCATGTCTTTGGACTGTGGGAGGTAACCGGGGAACTTATTGGAAACCTACGTGAGCACGGGGAGAACATGTAAACTCCGCACAGAAACGCTGACTGGCCTGGTAAGGATCTGAACCAGTGACATTCTTGCTGAGGCAACAGTGCTAACCACGGGGCGTCATGGCGCCCTATCAAGGAAAAAGGGAGGAGGAGTAGGGCTGGAAGAAGATATTGTTCAAATCAAAGATAACTGAGGTAAGAAATTATAACTGTTATATCCAGATAACAACCGGTGCAATTAATAACAGACTCATCCAGCTACTTTCAATCATCTTTCAAACATCTATACAGTACTTGACATAGTTGGTTCAGCCCATTTTAAAATGCATATTTCTTCCATTTCTCAGTGAATATAAGCAATGTATTTTGGTGCATTTAAACAAAACAGGTTTATTAAACAGATATATTTATTAAAATAATATTTTAGGCACCAAACATGCTTAGAAATTGAAAGATAATACAACTAAATTCAAGCAAAATATTGCAAAAAAAAAATTACAACCTACACAATTTAATCTAAAATTTTCATTTTTTTGCTGCTCTTGATTATTCCTCTTTTAAATTTGTATTTAATATTTTTCTATAACACAAATTTGGGTTTACTAGTTTTTGGACCAATATTGTAAGTTAATTTGTTAGATGTTTGTTAGAGCTCCAGATTTGGTTTCAGTACCGAGTAATCTAATGTTTATGCACAAATATAATATTGCATAGCTTCCTATTAAAATATAAATTTAAAAGAGAGATTTGTGAGGGGTGTCCTTCTATATGCTGAGCACTGTATGCTTGTTTGTCCTGCTGCTATTTTTGTCTGTTTGGCACGTTTTGCTGCAGTCTGCAGATAAGCCTGTCAGCCTTTATTCTTCAATAGCTTTCTTCCATAATTATACACTACCTGGCCAACAATCATTCAATGTGTTTAAGTCAACTGTGACTACCTAATTTTGATTAAGGTAAACATTTGTAATTGCATTGGTTTGACAACCTTATGGAGTGTCAGTTAATTTCCATCAAGAGTTTATTTTAATCATTCATTTTTGGCAGAGATCTTTTAATGATATTAGGAGCAGACCAAACCTGAGGAGAACCGGTTTACAAAATCAACTCCAGCACTTCTTAAAGACTTCTAGTTGGGTTCAGGTCAAGTGCTGTTCAATCCATGTGTCAAAAGAAGCATTCTGTCGTAGCTTAAGCCTGATGAATCTTTTATTAAGAAACTGCAGTCTGACAATGTTACATAAATTACATTATTATTATTATACATAATTATAATTACAGTACAATCATTGTAAAGTGAGCCAGTGACTGTTGTACCTGAGACAACACAGTGAGGTCGCCTTCAAAATTAGTTGGATTAATCCAATTTATTCAAGTGACTGTAGCTAGCAATAAACAGGAGTGGGACTCATGGGTTCTGGTCGTTCTTGTCACATTTTAACATGACTTTAACCCCAAGCCCCTGCCGAGTGGTCTCGAAAGCCTGTACAGCGTGTTCCAGTGGGAATCGGTGGGTGACCAGGGGCTTGACGTTCACCTTCTTAGACGCCAACATAGAAATGGCCACCGGCCAGCTGCAGCAACAATGAGGTATCATGAGTAAAAGTGTGCAAGAGAGTGAAATCTTATTTTGAAATATACATATTGTAATAAACTGATGTTGACAGTAATTCTACTCACGTATTGCAGTAGCGAAATACACCTCTGATGTCAACTTCTCTGACTGCAGCGTTGAGAAGCGGTACAGTGGTCATCTCAGCACCAAGACCAACCGACACCACCACTCCTCCAGAACGAGTAGCCTACAAACAAACACCCATCAGTGACACATAAAAATATCCAGACATCAAGGTACAGTGAAGCCAGTATGATTTCATAAAGTAAATAAACCAACATAGATGGCTGTCTGAATGCTGCTCTGCACTCCGGTGCACTCTATACAGATTTGAGGCATGCATCCCAGCATTCCCTCCACTCTTTTAGCCAAGTCCTGTGGTGAATCCTCTTTCTTCACAGGAAGCAGGAAGTCTGCTCCAATCTCTTTTGCCTTGGCAAGCCGATCAGAGGACAAGTCTACAAATAGAAACATAAAGATCATATGCTGTATAGATGTGCAGTCAATCTCAATATAGTTCCCTTTTATATGTCCTGAATATAAACATTACCACTTATGATTACTTGTGAAGCACCCATGGCTTTGGCTGCCAACAGAGACACTAGTCCAATGGGTCCTGTGTTGATGAAAACAAACACCCTTTTTGTTTCCACAGACTGCTTAAACATTTTATGTGTCATGTTCCAGAGACAGTATTTGATAATAACGACACATGCTTTCAGTGATACAAGATTAGTATCAAGCATAGGTCAGTGGACAAGAAGTCAGAGGTCAATACACTGATTAACAAGTTAATGTGTAACGGTTGCATAAATATGTGCAATGATTAGAGCTGGCTGACCTGCACCACAGACAAACACCGAGCTTCCCAGAGTGACTCCTGCCCTCCTGCAGGCATGAATGCCCACTGACAGGGGCTCAATCAGGGCTCCTTCTTCATAAGTAACATTATCAGGAAGCCTGCGTGCACATAGCTTTAGAATTATTACACATACGATTCAAAACTAAGCTGTATCATTTATCCAGCTATGGTGATCTGACTTGTAGCAGAAGCTGGCGCTGTGTTTGTAGTATCTGCACAGGTTTCCGTCATCTGGAGGAGTGGCACAGAAGAATATGCTGGGGGAAAGATTGTAGTGTCCAGATTTGACAAACTCATCTACTTCACGAGGAACTCCAGGCTCAACTGCAACTCTGTCCCCTGGGCGCAAAAAATAGCCGCAATACTAGTTCCTCACATGAAAAATACTATAGTCATCATGTATACTAAGTACTATTATGTTTTTGAACAATACTATAGTAAAGTACTTTAATTAATCTGGTGTGGTAAATCTATAGTTGAAATGGCAATACAACATTTATAGTGATAAAAACTAAAGGATTTTACAGTATTTATTCACTATAAGTAAAACTACAGTACACTGTGGTTGCAGGGTTCCACAATTCCTTCACGTTGTCCCAACACAAACTGATTAAGTTACTTAATTGTTTTGACAAATTTAAGTGAAATTAACATAAACAATTAAGTTGTCCACCTAAAAACTTGAGTATTGCGTTGTTTCAGCTCAGTAGCAAAAAATAAATAAATAAAATAATTGACTGTGCTGTAGCATTCATTATCAAAATGATGTAAAAAAAAAAAAAGATATACTATATACAATACAACACACTTTAGTTTGGTTCAAACACACTAGTATTTACTATACACTACTACATATGTAGTTTTTTTTCTTATGTGGGTTGACTAACTGTTATAATGCTGCAAACTAAGCCAAAAACGAACCTGGTTTAAGGTGTGTGACAGCAGAGCCGACCTTCACCACTCGACCAGAGGCTTCATGTCCTAGAATCATGGGCTGTTTGACCACAAAGTCTCCAATGCGGCCGTTCTGCCAATAGTGCACGTCTGATCCACAAATGCCCACAGAGTGCATCTGAAGCAACACGTCTGCAATAACAATAATAAATATACTGAAGTATTCCTTTTATTGCAATGCATTCGGTAATATTTCTTTGTGACATAAATACCATTTGGTCCTGGCTCCGGAATCGGACGCTGTTCCTATACAAAAAAATACAGAAAATCTGCAATTATTAACTAAAAGTGCATTCAGACATGCAAAATCAGCTAAACTCTTGAGGTGTCATACCAATCTCAGATCTCCTTTTGCGTGCAAGACCACGGAAAGGTTGTCTTTGTCCATTGTATTTTCTTATATACGCACAGAAAACAGAACTACTGCAAACGACTATTCAATGAGTTCTTATAGTGCCTGCCTGGCCCTTGCATGGATCATGCGCGCTTTCACTTACACACACTAGACTTTGGCCATCCCACTTCTTCCTGTTTATCAGCGGCTCATTCAAGAACGTCAAAACTGCGCCATGTGCAGTCAGGGAATAACAACCAGGAGTAAGTACGCTCTGCAAGCGTACATACAAAATAAAAAGCATGGACCGGTCATCCTTTTTAAGCATTATATATTCCAGCTATTTATTTTTATTTACATAACTACCCTTTTTTCATTGTCCCACCTAAGACCCACTCGGAGGGCAATGTGCTATGCCGGAAGTTGTCTGTTACTATGACGACGTGTTTCGCTTTTATATTTATCCTACAGGTTTTCGGAAATATTGCGTGTCTTCGTGAAGTAAAATACAATGGACGGATATGATATGGTACTAGAGTGTTTTAACAAACAACAGGAGAGTCTGAACATGAGTCACCGGGGTCTCGTTGTTTTGCCACCTGGAGTTTCGAGACTCGTTACCTTGAAAAAACTGTTTCTGAACAATAACCAGCTCATTTTGCCACCAGACGAGGTACTTAACAAATTTACTTGTATTACAAGGTAACATAGCTATTTGCAATGTGAATTCGTAGCACACGTCACTTTATTCAGTGCTGGGTTGCAGTAAACAGAATTATTAACCACATAAAAATTGTGTTTATAATTATTTATAGTACGTTTTTAAATGTTCACTACTACACTTACTTTGCATAACAAACTATTTACACTTTTTCAACCATTTTAATTATCTTTAATTATTATTTACCCTCAATGTTTTACTTTATCCTCTTAAGGCCCAAGGTGCTTATTTACATGCATTTTTTATTTCTCTTTGCTATTATGCTTATTGGAACCTAATTAAAATAAAAATCATCTATCATCTTTTAAAAATGGTGTACTGTTAGAGAAAAATTATGTGCATATAATTTATGTGGACTCGTGGTCTGAATTTACATAAAACACTTTTTCCTGATTTTTTTAATGCATATATAACATTTTTTTTTTACTTGCTTTGACTATCCGAGAGTAAAAATATTTTTTCCCCATTTTGTACAATTAAAAATAGTGTTTGGGACATTTCATATGCTGCAGTTGCAGGATGACACTGTATGTCTGTAACAAAATATAAAACATTCAAAGTATTTTAAATAGCCACTTTAGAGCTAAAATGTGCTGTCCACATATGTGGCCACTCAAGACCTAGGAGGTTAAAAAATGGACGTCACATCGTTTAGCTTTGAATATTTACATTATAGAATGGCCATGAGTGTTAATTCATTTACAATCCATGCTTCTGAATTTGGGGACAAAACATCTCTCAATCAAATACTGTGTACTATAATTATGCACGCTACTAAACACAACCAATGTATGTATTATAAATAGAGTTCATATTTCAATTTATCAAGTCTTACATGTTAAATCAATTAATGTTTATTTACATGATTAATGTACTTTTACATGATTTATGATAGCTCCCTGTCTATTTCTTCAGAACCAGACATTGTAATATTTAATGGATTTCATAATTTCATGTTATGATTTCATGATATTTCTTGATATTTTTTTTATTATGATAATCCTATGATAATCAATGTCATATTAGATCAAAGGTACTTTAAAAGCAGTCAAAATACATTACCTAAAATCATGTCATTCATAAAATGTTTTGTCATGTAATTTGTAGCAATAGACCTAAATTTGTAATTCAACCAAGCACTGCATGCAATAATATCTAAAGTTATATTATAATGTACTGTAAGCAGAATTAATGTGTAAAACACTATTTGCTGCCCCTGTAAGATTCTGCACCTGGAAAAGCTTGAAGAACTGATACTGGACAGAAACCAGCTGACCATGCTTCCCAGCAACATAGGCTCACTGAAGCACCTGACTTATCTTGGTATAAACCACAACCCACTGTCAGTTCTCCCAGAGGCGCTGGGCGATCTGACAGAACTGAGAGAGCTCTGGGCTGTAGGCTGTGGTCTCATCTCCTTACCATCATCTATTGGTAAACTCAGTAAGTTACAAAAACTTGGGGTCCATAATAATATAATTACAAATCTACCATCACAATTTGGATCCCTCAGCAATTTGCAGTGGTTAAACTTGGCTGATAATAAACTTCAAGACCTTCCAGAAGATATTAATCACCTTCCGTCTCTGGTCTTCATAAACCTGGACAAGAACTGTTTTACAGACATCCCTACCGTATTAACAGGTTAGAAGCTTTTCCATGTATTGAAATGACTATTTAGAGTATTTGTTTAATCCTTGTTTCACCATGAAAAGAGTTTGTTTCAGGGTGCAATATGCAAACTTTAAATGATACCTTTGATCTTCTACTTCACTGTTTTCAGACATGTATTGCCAATGTTTAAAAGACTAATAGTTACTTTTTTACTTTCAGTAATCATTGCTTGTTAGCAACTGATTATTAATATTAAAAACATATTATTATTATTATTATTAGATACAAATCTATTTGGTGCAGATTTAGTGTTCTATCAGACCCATAGCCAGGGAGGGTTCGGGTGGTTTGAAAGACCCACCCCCACTGATAAAAGGTCCTGAATTTGTCCCAACCATGAGCTCATTTGTCTTATTTTGACTGCTATGCGGTAATAAATTGTAAAGGCATCAAAGAAGGCTTCCCATAAATGCAAAAAAAAAAAAAAAAAAAAAAAAAAAAACAGAATCTGACGTAAGTGAAGTCATCTTTCACCACAAGTGACTTTTATTTTGAATCTTGGACCTTATTCTTGAAAGAAAACAAAAGAAACATATAAAGGTTTAAAGCACCAAAAGCGACCCATATTAAAGTTATTTTAATACTAATTAGGCTATTTTTGTTATTCATAAACTTTCAAAATCTACTTTTTTTTTTTTACAAAAGAGATTAGAAAAAATTGTGAAGCTCTACATTATTAATATTAATGTTTTATTTTTTTATTAAGAGATTAGAAAAATTGTGAAGCTCTACAATATTAATATTAATATGTTTTTTTTTATTAAGAGATTAGAAAAATTGTGAAGCTCTACATTATTTATATTAATATGTTTTACTTTTTTATTATTCAAATGGCCAAATTCTGACTGAGGAAAGTTGAATGTGCTGGCTAGTTTGTTATTTGCCCAATAAATTACAATAGGCTTACAATAAGCAACAGTTTTTTCATTATTAATATAAAACTTTGACTCTTTTTTTCCCTAATGATACATGATGTAATAAATGTTTTTTTTATAAAAATTTTTAAAACTTTATTTTAAATGTTTTGCTAATGGTTTGCTACAAAGTGTGGTGATGATGAACATCCGACAAGCTAACCCAGCTAAAATTAGTGCTTAAATAGTCACTAAAATGCAGCATTTAAACCTCATAATTGAATAGAAAATAAGGTGAATAACTGCAAAAAGATCTACTTATTGAGAAAAAAGAACCACTCTTTTCGCTAGGCTGGCTGCAGGCTGTTTATTCATTTTATGTTGTATATTTTTTTCAGACATGGCAAACCTACAAATCCTGTCTCTTAAATTTAACAGCATCAGAACACTAGAGGATTACTTAATCCCTGGTTTCAGCAGACTTACAAAACTTGACATCAGAGAAAATCCTTTAATGGACAGACCACCTCACTGGAAGGTAACTAATCATCAGAAACAACAAAATACATAAATAAACAACAAACATTTTATCTAAAGTGCTTAACTTTAATAATATCAACAATTACTTTGCTCTGTAACCTGTCAAATCAACTCTCTTCAAATGCAGGGATTGGATTTCATATTACTTGGGAAAGTGTGACAACCTGAACAATCAAATTTACTGTATATGAGATGAGCAGAAACTGAAATCCAGCATCCAAAGGACTGGGCATGTTGTATTACACTGCTTTGCGATGAAAAGGAGGAGTCGGATCATTAGATCTTAAAACATCATGGCCATGGAGAGAGGGAAGAAAATCCTTAAGTTCTCCTGAATACTTTCTCATTTTAACGATATGAACATACCCTGCAACAGAGATAGAACAATACCTAACTAAAAGTGAGAACATGTTAACTATGGATGGCATTATTTGGTAATTAAGTACCTGAGATCATGTTGTTTACAGGATATTGCCGCATCTCACAACATGAACATACTTTGCTCTGTGTTGTAACAGTCTGGTAATCATCCTGGCTAATAGATAACATAAGGTTAAACCATGTTTTTTAGTGCTGTTGCAGTGAAAGTAATAGTAAGACCTCAGTGATATCTACTGTCTATACAGTATGTGGGACAATATTAATGGTGCATTGAGTGCACTGACTCAACAAGTTAAATGTTAAAAGTTAAAAGTCTCCAGAAATGGTTTAATCTGCTCATTTGTAAACACATTTACAGTATGACCCCTAGGTCATTGAATATATTTAGAACGATTAGGAATATCAATGTGCTCACAGTGTGACTGACAGTGTGGTGTACTCTGGATTAAACATGCAGAATAATCATACTTGATTTGTCAAAAGATATTTGAACCGATTGAGAAGTTGCCTTGTTAAATTGTATCAGTGAGCTGTCTTTATGGCACCAGAGTAACCTAATATGCTCCTAAATTGTGTTGTGGATAAATCTGGTGTGCAATGTAATAGTCTGCTTTTTGTTCCGATTAGCCTGTTTTTCACTCGGATTTTACACTCACAGGATTTAGATGGGAATGAGGAAACAATGATGTTTCACACTCAAGGTATGTCATTTCCTTGTACTAAACTCTTATTATTCAGCAATACCAAGGTGTATTCAGATTTTCATTATATGGCACCTTTAAAAACTATTTACATTTTTATATACTAATAAAATTAATTAGTTAATGCATTCCATTCAAAATCTAAAACATTTACTGTAAAATACGGAGTTAACGCATACCTGCTCCTCTCTCTCAATGCATGATCTTCAGTCTCACCAGACAGTATGTCTTTAGGCACTTCAGGGTTAATTTGTTCTTCGCATATCACCTGACAACATAACAACAGAGAAGCTAAAAATGATGAGGAGGAGTAAGGACACAGGTTCAGTTGACAACACGTTCTCTTACCTGTTCATCCTTTTCCCAAATGAACCTTCCAATTATCGCTCTCATTTCTAAAAATGTACAGTAATACAAAGATACAAAGCATTAATAAATGTAACAGCTTCATACGTCGTACTAAAAACATGTTAATTAGCACACAGTTAGGACCGCTCACCATTCTGGACAAAGTCTGGGGGCAAAACATAGTGGCCAATAGGCACAGATGTTACACTCTGACGAGGTTGACATGCTAACAGAAAACTGCTGTGGAAAACTGTTGCCCTGTTCTTTACATAGTCCTCACTGCCATATATCCTAAAAAGGTACATTAGATAATTTTTGTTGCTGTTGATGTAATCATTTTTAGCATTATATAAAAAAATGCCATGCATGTAAGCTCTGTTCATTTGTTTTAAATTCCCAGAGACGAGACTAAAAACACCTTTTAGTGTCTTCAGATGAGGCATCATCACTGAAGAGGTACCCAGCTGTTTTCCAGGATGAAATATCGCCCCCTTCTGAAACTAAAAGAACGTTGCCATACGTTAAAACATTTGATCAGACCAGCTGTCCCTTTCCAAAATATTAATTTATAAATTCGTTCATTGCTTTTCATTGAGATATTCAAGCAGATAGCATATTTTAGAAACATAAGGTTAAGTAAACACCCATCCTCTCACCCCAGAAGCTGATCACTTCCTTTTCAACACTGTCGGAGAACCATGCAGTTTTTCTTTTAAACATGTTTATGTCGAGTGGTTTATCATTTAAATTCTCACAGAAGCAGTTTGAAGCGACTTTAATTTTGTAATGATCCTTCTCCAGACTTACACTGTTTTCGCTGTAACTGACTCGTACGTCAGTTATGTTCACATTCCAGTTTTCTCTGACGTAACATAAAAAAATAAATCAATTTAGAAATGAACGTATTTCTGAACAAAAAGAACAAAAGTTTATAGTAATGTATAAAATCTATGAGAAATGAACACGAAAAATTATAACTTTCAGATATTTAACACACCTCCTCAGGACTCGACGAGTAATGTCCGGTTCGTGAACGAATCGTTCTTTTGAATCGGATCTTTTCACTGACTCTTTTAAACCCGTTCACAAAACCGCTAAACGACTCGTTTGATATTCATTCAACAACTCGAGAACCGAGCACTTCATGCGACAAATCGACTGGTACAATATGCTGCTGCAGGAATAATAAAGACATTATTGAAATGATAAAGGCATTATTTACATTAACAAATCACTTTATTTTGAAAATTGGTTTAAAACAACTTTCTTTTAGCTGGTCAGCTCTTTAACTCAGGCAGACTTTATAACTATTTAGATTACAAAAGTTTAACATTCCTGTTGCTCCTATAGTGAATATGCCATTGTTGTCAATTCCATCCCTTCTGGTGTGCCTGGCCCTGTTCTTATGCGAGGTGTCACACTCCCATGCCATACACTCACTCTCTGAATTTAACCGATAGACTGGTTGGAAGTGTGTGTTTTTCAGCAGACCAACAGAAAAATAACTGTAAGATTAGAGGCCTCTTCCAGAGAGAGATAATAACAATCCCTTATATAATACCCATAGGTAATACCTTATTGAAACAACATTGTTGAAAAAATTCCATGGGAGAAAGTATGGAGTTTGCCTCATAACACAAGTATCTGATTACCAATAAAGTAAAAGAAGTAACTTTTAAATTCATTCACAAATGTTATTCTACTAAGACCTGTCTTCAGATAGATAATTTTGCATTGATGTGAACTGCTCCTTTACTCTTCAGAGAAACACTTTATTCATTTGTTCTGGCAGTGCTACTACACAGAAAGGTTCTGGTCAGATCTGTTGATGTTTATTCAATCCTGTATTAAAAGTGACTTTTCCTTTTCTTTCAAAGGTATGTTCTTTTGAATGTTTGATGATTCTAAAGAAAACTTGGAAAAGTGTATATAATTAATTTAGGTTTTCTATTAGTTTCATATTCACAAACAAAAGTTTAGTGGCTTAAAACCTTTTTTAAATCTGTTTAAAATTTACAGACCAATATTTAAAAACCATCCATCACTCTTTTAACCCAAAAGCAAAAAAAAAAAAAAAAACTGTATCTTAATATTATTCCTTAATGTCTCTTTATCGTTACTTCCTTATTTTTATTTTTGTTACCATGGCGTTTGTTTGTCTTTGCGTATATTTCTATGCACATTTTCATTTATTTGCATTATTTGTTTCTATGTATGTAATTGTATTTGATTTACCTCTTTGATTTAAAATAAAATGCTGCTGCATGAGGATTTTAAATGATTCCAAGGCACTAATAGAAGAAACTATGAAAACATGGAACATATAAGTCAAAAACATTTTTTTAAAGCCAAAGGAAAGCAATGTGACAAATTAACTCTTGAATCTTTTTTCCACATTTAAAACAAATAAAATCAATATTAAATGCCTTACAGTGATATTGTATTTAGATATCCCAACTGTCTGAAAAATCAATCAATAAAAATCAATAAATATATGAATTATTTTCTCAATATGTTGTGACATGATTATATGTTAAATGATATTACAAAGATGATCTAAAGTATTTTGTTTTAACTTTCGCTGCATATTATATTATATTATATTATATTATATTATATTATATTATATTATATTATATTATATTATATTATATTATATTATATTATATTATATTAAAGGTGGATGCATGTAGTTCACTCTCCTGTCCACTAGATGGTGCAAGTACGGCATAAGAGAGATTCCGCGCGTGCTCCTGAATGGTGAAAGGGAAAATAGCAAGAATATATATATAATTTGGTTCTCATCAGCTGGAACTGATTCAACATGATGGTTAAAACAGACCAAATGTCAGCCTGGCAGTACAATGTGTATATAATTCCACATCAACTATGACTTAGGTAAGCGGAGGTCCTTTGATTATGTTGTTTGCGTCCCACGTGTAAAACTGACTGGCAGATAAATGTGGGCACACGTGATTTTACGCATGAATTTATTTCTGCAACGACTAAACACATTTATTCTGCTCACTCAGGGGGTTGCTTAATAAGATCTGTCATGTCTTGACAGCCTGTTATTATTTCATGTTGTGAGTGCAAGACATGGCCAAAATAGAGAGCCAAAGCGGCCTCTATATTATAGCTCTTGTATACAAAGCCCCTTATGAAATACAGTATCTGTCAGTGTGTAACGTTAAATCAAAAGCAAAAAACAAACTTAAACTTCATGTCAACATTACTTTAAGAACTACTTGCACTGTAAGTAAATCTAATTCAGCAGGGTCATTCTACAGAAACGTGTATTTTTCTCTCAGACTTAACATCAATGTTATACTTGTAAAATTCTTCAGGTTTACAGTTTCTTTATGTTTAAAAATGAAACACTGTTATTTGAACAATTACACCTTATTGGGGCATTAATGTGGCAACTGTTGTGTACAGGGGTACAACAACTTATGTACAGGGGTGGACTTATCCAATTAGTGAGGTAACTTCATAGATATATAGATATATGTATATATCTATGAGGTAACTTAAGCAGCCGCTTAGGGCCCTGAGGAATTAGGGGGCCCCAACCAATGCCCAGATGTCTATGTTAATCATATAGCTCTTTTATAAAGTTTCTATCATGTGTTATTTCTTGCAAATCTATCTATAGCCATTAATATTTGAAAATTATTATTTATTTTTAAAACCGGGTGCCCCCCATAAACAGTGGAACAGTCTTTCTGTACTGCATATGCAATTAGTAAAATCTAATAAAAAATATGGCTAATTAATTGTACATTTGTGAACTTGTTTTTTATTTGAGAATTTTATTGTATTTATTTTACATTACGACGATAAAGGTTTCACAACCCCCAACCCCCCCACCCCCCGAATAATTAGCCCACCTGCTTATTTTTTAATGGAGAGAAGATTTTGTCAACACATTTCTAATCATAATAGTTTTAATAACTAATTTCTAATAACCGTTTTATTTTATCTTTGTCGTGATGACAGTAAATAATTTTTGACTAGATATTTTTAAGACACTTCTATACAACTTAAACTGACATTTAAAGGCTTATATAGGTTAACAAGACAGGTTAGGGTAATTAGGCAAGTAATTGTTGTATAACGATGGTTTGTTCTGTAGTCTATCAAAAACAAAATGAGCTAAGGGGGTAATAATTTTGTCCTTAAAATGGTGTTTAAAAAATTTTAAACTGTTTTTATTCTAGCTGAAATAAAACAAATAAGACTTTCTCCAGAAGAAAATATTATCAGACATACTGTGAAAATTTCCTTGATCTGTTAAACATCATTTGGGAAATATTTAAAAAAGAGAAAAATCAAAGACGGGCTGATAATTCTGAATTCAACTGTAAATATACAGAACCATAAAGCATGCACTGCTCATTTCACTTTAATGCAATTATCTATGCTTGTAGGGTTTTTTTTCCCTTTTTTGTATGTTACGACCATGGCCTCCCAATCATCCCCTTCCACCTAATTGGCTCTATCACTGTCTCTCCACTCGGTGAGGCAGTGGCGCAATAGGTAGTAGGTAGGTTG